TGAGACTTTTTTGGTGGCTAGGCAAAAGTGTGAATTGGGTGTTGACCGTGTTCTTTTTCTAGGATATGTTGTCTGGTCCGCAGGCTTGTCGATGGATATGAGTAAGGTCAAAGCTGTTCGTTCATGGCCAGAACCGCGTACGGTCACGGAGGTAAGGAGTTTTCATGGATTGGCCTTCTTTTATCGACGTTTTGTGCCTCATTTTAGTACAATTATGGCTCCTTTGACGGATTGCATGAAGGAGTCCAAGTTGTTTGGACGGACGAAGCTAAGGAAGCATTTGAACAAATTAAGCATAAGCTCACGACAGCTCCTATCCTAGTGTTACCCGATTTTGAGTTGCCCTTTGAACTCCATTGCGATGCTTCTAAGTTAGGGATTGGTGCGGTTTTGAGTCAATAGTCTTTGTCCGTCGCTTATTTTAGTGAGAAGTTATCCGGAGCTCGGAGTCGATACAGTACTTATGATGTGGAGTTTTATGCGGTGGTACAAGCCATTAAGCTTTGGCGGCATTATCTCGTGCATAGAGATTTTATTCTGTTCACCGATCATGACGCACTTAAGCACCTTGATAGTCAGGACAAGGTTTCTTCGAGGCACGCTTCTTGGATTGCTTTCTTACAACAATTCACTTTTTCCATTCGTCATAAGTCTGGTAAATTGAATCGTGTGGCCGACGCGTTAAGTCGTCGTCATACCTTGCTCACAACGATGCATGTGACGGTGCCGGGTTTTGCTTCCTTCTCATCTTTGTATGAGACGGATCCTTTTTTCACACAATTTTGGCTGACGTAAAAGCGGGTTCTCGAACTGATTTTACTCTTACCGATGGGTTCCTCTTCCGTGGTGTCCAACTTTGTGTTCCCGATTGTAGTCTCCGGCTACGCATGATTGAGGAATTGCATTCCGAGGGACATGTGGGCCGGGATAGAACTCTTCAACTTGTCTCGGCTTCGTATTACTAGCCTACTCTTCGTCGTGATGTTGAGAGGTTTGTGGAGCGGTGTCGGGCTTGTCAGTTGGCTAAGGGTCAAGCATCAAACGCCGGGTTATATCTTCCGCTTCCCATTCCTACCCAACCGTGGACTGACTTAAGCATGGACTTCATTTTGGGGCTGCCGCGAACTCAACGGGGTAATGATTCTATTTTCGTCGTTGTTGATCGTTTTTCCAAAATGGCTCATTTTGTGCCGTGTAAGCGCACAACGGATGCGGTTCGGGTTGCTCAGCTATTTTTTCAGGAGATTTATAGACTTAATGGGTTACCAACTTCGATCGTGGCAAATAGAGACACGCGTTTTTTGAGCCATTTTTGGCGTTCCCTTTGGAAATTGTTACATACAAGCCTAGATATGAGCACAGCTTATAATCCTCAAACCGATGGTCAGACTGAGGTGACTAACCGTGCTTTGGGAAACATGTTACGGTGTCTTGTGGGCGAGACTATTCGTTCTTGGGAGGCTCGGTTGTGTCAAGCTGAATTTGCTCACAATCATGCTACTAATCGCAGTTTGTGTTTTAGTCCTTTTCAAGTTGTTTATAGTTTGTTACCTCGTGGACCACTTGACTTGACTTCTGTACCTGATCCACAACGCATGCATGGCCACGCCGTGGAGTTTGTTGATGCCCTTAAGCCTAGCATGAGCAGGCTCGTCAACAGCTCGAACTTTCAGCCACAACGTATAAGGCACGCGCTGATACTAAGCGACGAGAAGTGATTTTCGAACAAGGTGATTTAGTGTGGGTTGTTTTGACACGAGATCGTATGCCCGCTCACGAGTATAACAAGCTTCGTTCTCGAAAAATTGGTCCAGTTGAGGTTTTGGAACGCATTAATGACAACGCTTACCGTCTCCGGCTACCATCCCACATATGTACGGCCAATGTCTTCAAAGTCAAATACTTGTCCAGATACCGTGGTGATAACAACAGTCCATATTCAGAGACGAATCTTCTCTTACCCGGAGAGACCTGATGCAGCGCATCTTTACTATTCTCTTTTGTTTTGCTATTTCTTTTGGGCTTTCTTTTGTTTAGTCGGTTAACTGTTTTCTTGGGCTTTACGTTTAGTTATTTGGCTTAGGGTTTTATCTCTTATATGGTTTTCTATATAAACCCTCTCTTGTAGTTCTGAGGGAGACACGTTATTATTATTGAATAAACAGAGCTTTAAGCTTCTTCTCTTGAATATCGGCTATTCGTAAAAATCAACGACATTCAAACTTTGTCTTTGTTTGGTATTCAAAGAATCAACAAACTAAAGACAGCCCTTGTGATCGGTATTCCTTGTGAATCAACGAGCTCAAGGTTTATCTCTTGTTACGCTGCGCCAATGTCATTAGCACTACACAACAAAACTTTCTTACTTATACACTACCAACACTGCTAAAACAAATGCTGCAATACCCATTAGACCTACAACCATCTGAACTCCACTTCTAAACCTAAGGTTTTTCTTACCTAGATCAGAGACTAACAATTCTAACTGATGTAGCTTCTGATCAGTTTCAAAGTGACTCACGCAGTTTAAGGCATCAACCTTCTCGGATAAGACCTCATACATTCTGTCCAAGTCTCTCATCTCTTCCATTGCAGCATCCTCCACCACTTGTGGAGATGCATATCCCCATCTTCCACATTTTGACATGTGAAGAACCCACCATCACATTTTGACATGTGAAGAACCTACCATCACATTTACACAACCAGATAAACCGTTAAAGACTCAGTACGTATAGAATTATAACAGAAGCATAGTGAGACAAGTTAATAGATACCTCCTGCCTATATTATTTGGGTTGTTGCAAGTACTTAGAGTAGGCCTCCCACCACAGTAGCACTGCTTTGGGAAACCAAACTCTACCTCAGGTTGAGGAGGGTATTGACTCGCTTGAGTTTGTTGCAAGTGACTTTCAACTTCATCCATCATAATAGCTCTTGCATTGATCAAGTGACTGTCAGCATCATCCATTAAAATCAAGGCCTCTTCTTCTTTGTCTTCACTGTGGTCATGATGGTCGTATTGGTCTGAGGAGGAAGGCTGTGAATAACTGTAGTCCTGCCCCATCTGATATTTCAACCTTAAAAAACAACCATTAAACTATTATTAGAAGACGCTTCAAGTTTAAAAGTTTAATAAACAGAATCAGAAACATAACAACATTTCTTATACATAACAACATTCTTATATATCATGTTTGTCATACAAGAACAGAAACATAAAGACATTAGAACCAAGCCGAGTACACATTCAGTTTATAACAGACACACAACATCACCAAAAGCATAGTACACATTCATACAATAACAGAAGACATCATCACCTAAAGCCGAGTACACATTAATAGAGTAACAGAAACACATGCAAACTTAATTAGTAAAGGTAATAAGAGATACGAAATCTCAGAAATACTGAGAAACAATCTTCTTCTTGATAAGTTCATCACTCTCAGAAAGAGGTTCCTTCTTAGCCAGTATTGTGTCAAGGATAGCAAGCTTCTGAAGCTTCTGAAGCTTCTGAAGCTTCTCAGTTTCAGCCATCTCCACCTTCTTGATTTCCCACATGCTTTGATACTCAGCTAGTGCCTTCCCTTGACCATTATTCTTCTTTGCCTTAGCAGCCTTGACCCCTTCAGGTCTGATCTCACAGTCTTCACCCGTGCTAGTTGGTGGAGAAGAAAGATGACAGATAGAATATGGTCGAGAAGAGAGAAACTTGCTATCAATGGTGGAGAAGAAAGAGGACATATATAAGATGGTGTAGAAGAAATAGGACAGATAGAAGATGGTAATAACTCATTACTAGCTAACTGCATATGTCTAATCACTAGTTTCTTACATTTAACTCTGTTATAGCATTCAGATTTTATAAGTTGTACTACCTACATATCAGTCGATGCTCATAGCTAGGACTTAACAACAACATCAATATAGCAAAACAAGCACCCTAAATAGCAAGTACATGCAATAAATCAATGTCATTATGATAACTAGCTACTACATAACCTTTTACAACTATTTGCCTCAGTCAATCACCTAACTAGGCAGTAGATAAGCAATTTATACTTTCGATTTATATCACTTTCTCTAATGCTAAAGTAAGCAGCAAACAGCAAACATGAACAACATGGCTAACACCTAACATGAGCAACATAAATATTACAGAAACAACACAGCCAAAACAACCAGCAAACAACATGTTTAACTATAACAGTTAACCAAACATTTTGCCTAACTAAAACAATTTCTATCAGTCTATGACCTTGTACTCCCTATTACACGCAAACAACATTAGAAGAGCAAAGCCTACAGTATTACAGTTTCACATTGCAAACCACAAGTACATATCTACCAACTTAACTTAACTAGCAAAGAACAATTATATCAGTTGGAAAATGCTCAATCATATCAGAATGAACAATATGCAACTCTGATATGATTGAGCATTTTCTGATATGCTATTCTGGATTAGTTAAGGATTAGTTAAAACGGTGGGCATGGACGATTGCAAAAAAAAAAAAGTGAAAGGTCAGTCATTCTGAAATTAGTTCTCTTTCCTGGTGTCATTAATAATGACAAGACTAACAATGACAAGACTAACCCTACATTTAGTCAAAAACGAGAAAACTTCGCTTCCTTGATTTGGCAAAGATATCGTAAGGTTTATTTTGACACAAGATACTGGCAGAGTAATGATGGCCTCATACACGGTAGTGTGTAGGGTATTGGATTGGCTATTTATTATCGGACTATCATCGTTGCCCAAAAAAAAAAATGTGAACACTTTAGTCGCCGACAGACATTAACGTCAAAGAGTAACAAAACCAGCAGTGATCAAGATTTACAGGTAAGCATTAATGGCGTTTTGACGCTGATACATGATACTCGTTGGATAGACTCATTCAGCTCACATAGTTAGCAATTGCTATCAAAATTGGTGAATGTTATCGATGTTGGAAGTTAACAAAAAAAAATATTTTGTTATTTGATATAGGTAGAAAATGGCTTTGGTTGTTCGCTTGGTGCGTGGTGAGTGGACGGAAGACACTAACGACTATTACGTTGGCGGTTCGATTACAGAGCAAGATGGATATGAAGGGTTGTTGTAGCGGTAAAGAAAAAGCTTCAACAAAAAGATAGAGACGTTGTTGAGCTAACCTACTAATGGTTTTTTAAGGAGCCTCATGTTTCAAGTGTAGGAGGCGATGATAGTATCGTGCAACAGTTGATGGTGAATGAGGATTTAGAAAAAAAACCAAACGATCCTAATACTGGTGATGGTGTCAGTTCACAGTTGATAGATCCAGTGGTAAAGATTGGGCAATACTTCAGCAGTAAGGAAGCTTTACAGGCAACTATGGAAATGTATGCGATGAAATATAACTGCGACTACAAAGTTTCAAAATCTACTAAGAGATGGTGGTCTATTCGCTGCATAGAAAGTGTTTGCAAATGGAGTATTCGTGCTGAGTGTTTAGAGGGATCTACATATTTAAAAATCAACAAATATGTGGGTAACCATACATGTGCTCCATAAAAAAAAAGTACATTCTGTAGGACGCCATCTGCGAAAACAGTTGGTCATCTCATTATGCAGCAGTATGAGGGTGTGAAGGAAGGTACTAAACCGAATGATATAATTAATATTATTCGTACATCGTATGGATGCGAGCTTACTGATTCACAAGCTTGGGAAGCTCGTGAGTATGCAGTTAACGAAGTTAGAGGAATTCCTGAGAGAAGCTATGGGAAGATTCCAAAATACTTGCACATGTTGAAAGAAGCGAATCCTGGTACGTACACGAATTATGAAATTGATTAAGATGGTAGATTCAAATATCTATTTATATCTTTTGGTCAATCGATAAGAGGGTTTTACAAGGCATGTCGGAAAGTGATAGTAGTTGACGGTACATTTTTGAAGAGCAAGTACAAAGGAGTTCTATTAGTTGCTACAGCTGTTGATGGTAACTCTAATTTGTATCCAATCGCATTTGGAATTGTTGATTCCGAGAATGATTGTTCGTGGGATGGTTTTTTGCAACTTAAGTTGGTTATAACGGATGAAGAAGGTTTATTTTTTGTATCATATAGACATATGTCCATTGGTAAATCGATAAGGAACATCTACCCATTGGCTAAACATGGTATTTGCATCCACCACTTGATTACTAATGTGATAACATATAACAAGGGAAAAGGTGTGGCTGGTATGGTTGCAAAAGCGTCTAAAGCTTATAGAGTTGCTGAGTTTGAGAAACAGTTAGCGCGAATAAATAGTATTAGTCCCTCGATTGGAAGATATTTAGAGGATGCTGATGTGAAAAAATGGGCTCGTTGTCATTTTCCTGGTTCTAGATATGATATTAACACCAACAACGCAGCAGAATCGATCAATGCATCTCTGAGATCACCGAGAGAGTATCCTATAATTCCTTTGTTAGACAGCATCAGAGAAATGCTAACACGATGGTTTTATGAGAGTAGAGAATTAAGTGCAAAACATCAAGATCCTTTAACTGTTGCGGTGGAGACAAAGATTTCAAGAAGAATAGAGAAAGGAAAATATTTGAAAGCATATCCGATTACCAGAAATGTGTTGCAGGTTAAAGGTAATGGAGAAGAGTATGTTGTTGATTTAGAAAAAAGAACATGTTCATGTGGGAAGTTCGAGATAGGGAAAATTCCTTGCAGGCACGCTATCAAAGCAGCTTTTGATATAGGAAAGGATCTATATCCTTATGCTAATGATGTTTTTACGACGACAACATGGAGATCACATTACGAGGAAACTATTAACCCAATAGGTGTTCCCGAACGAGATTGGTGTGTCCCGAAAGATGTTGAAGATGCAATCGTTCAACCACCAGAAACAAGAAGACATCCAAGTAGACGAAGAAAGCGAAGACATGAAACAGCTGAAGACAAAATAAAATCATCACAAAGATCACAAGGGTCAAAGAGACATAAGTGTAGCCGTTGTGGCCAAGAAGGACATAACAGAACCACTTGTGATAGCAGTCCAATACATCTTTTGAAAAGTTTAAGGTGCTGATTTCAGAAGACTATGGAATAGAACAAAGTATGTTTGATGTGGTGGAAAGTATTAATTTTAGTTGATTTCAGTATGTTTTTGACAATTGTAATGGTTTATTGATGATGATGACTTGTCGTGTACGTCAAGAGTCAAAAACCCCAACACGAGAGAAACGTTTAAAACATATCAAAATTAGAAACGAACTTAACATTGATTTAGAGTCAAACCGAGAGCTTCTGTCCCATCGGTTGAGCTTCTATCACATGACAACTGACCGACCGATCGGTTGTCAGGTCGGTTGAGTCAAACCCGAGAGCGTCTGTCCGAGATTAAACGATCAATCAACCAATCGGTTGAACTTTCATCACCTGACAACCGACCGACCGATCGGTTGTCAGGTCGGTTGAGTCGAACCCGAGAGTTTCTTGGTTGTTTGATCTCGGACAGAAACTCTCGGGTTCGACTCAACCGACCTGACAACCGATCGGTCGGTCGATTGTCATGTGATGGAAGTTCAACCGATTGGTTGATTGGTCGTTTAATCTCGGACAGACGCTCTCGGGTTTGACTCAACCGACCTGACAACCGATCGGTCGGTCGGTTGTCATGTGATAGAAGCTCTCGGTTTGACTCTAAATCAATGTTAAGTTCGTTTCTAATTTTGATATGTTTTAAACGTTTCTCTCGTGTTGGGGTTTTTGACTCTTGACGTACACGACAAGTCATCATCATCAATAAACCATAACAATTGTCACAAATATAATTGAGTAAACGTGGAAAGTAGCTACTAAAATTATTGTTAAAACGTTGAAACAAAAAAAACCATGATTCCATTACTAACTAAGCTACTAAAATTAATATTTAAAAGACAAAAAAATATCAACTAACGTCTACAATATCAGAAGAATTATTATGAGGTTCGTACTTCTCCATTCGATCAATTAGTACAGGATCTTTCGATGCTGCCCAAAGATCAACAGCAAGCTTGAGACGGGCTTCTCTTATGTTGTCCTCGTTGATCAAATCCAAAGGTAGATTAAGCATGTGAGACTCGATGTATTTCAGCGCATAAACACCACAATCACAACATGAGCGATTTAAGTTAGGCGGCAAACCAGACACTTCAACCTTATCGGTTTGCTTCTCAGTACTCTGCAAACCAGACAATTCGTTGTCCTCATCACTAAGTTGAGTGTTCACATTCTCATCTTCAGACACTACAACATCGTCAGCATTTTCATCAAGTACATCATCAAAACTTTCCCAAATATGATCTCCAAAATTATATCCACTTCTAACCAAGGCATTCAAATTATCCACTTTGCCATCTTCTGTTTCATCAACTCTAAGAAAATCTATGTGGTCAAATACATCGTAATTTCGTGTGGAGGAAATGTATGCGTAAACAACAGCCTGAAAAATTGGAAAAATAAAAGTATACACGTTAATTTGTATACACGTTCAATAACACTATAATAAAAGTATACACGTTAATTTGTATACACGTGAAACTATAGTCAAATAAAAGTACATGAGTTAACTAACCTTTGTTCCAGTTGACTTTTCTATGACAATAAGTTCATCATATGATACTTTTGCAGAGCCTTTCCAATTAGAACATCGAGCAAAATATTTCTTATCAATCTTCTCTCCCAACAGTTCTCCAATGACAGGAATTGCTTCCATAACCCATATTTGAAGTGCATATGAGAAAGCATCGAGGATATAACTTGTGGTGTTCCTCAATTTAGATCTTGCCTTCCCAATAGACTTAACTAAATGGTCAAAAGCTAAAAGACCCGAAGGATAAGTCCTAACCTTCTCAAGATCCATCACCAACACTATGTAAGTGACTGGTATAACCTTCTTCTCATCCATAGCCATTACCAACCCACAAATTACAGAAATATACACAAATCGAATTCTATCAACTTCACTCCAGTTGGGAGCTGCTTAAGGTGGATCTTCATCAACTTCACCATGGTAATAATCTCCTCTCCATCCAACAATTTACTCCAAAACCCCTTGTCTTTTTTCCAAGTTTCTAAATCACCAGAGAAGTCATCCTTGCACTTTAGCCCAGTAACTGCATAAAATTCTTGCATAGAGAATCTGAGTGGCTTCTTTCCAAACACAAACCAGAGCTCATGTTTTTTCTTCGTTATCAATTGCCTACACATTATGCTATGTATCAATCGAGCCGAATACCCGAGACCGTTTTCATGTATTGCAAACACATGTGCGAAGACAGGATGACTCTTCACTATATCATACTCAGCTGGTAATGCCTTCTTGATCTTGTCTAAAATAGACATTCGACATGAATTGTTAATCAGACTCACTTTGGGCTCATTTCCAGCTCTCATAAAACGTTTTGGATACTCTTGTGCCATGCCTGTAAAAAACCAAGATAAAAAAAAACAGAGATGTGACTTAAACGTTTTAGATGCTCTCACACAAACACTTGTTTTAGATATATTAATATAAAACATTCCATAGAAAATGAGCCTTAATAGATTCATCCTTCACGAACAAACAAGACAACAACTGAATACTTTAAATCAGCAAACAAAATTACCTCTGTTCAACGCGAGCAAGGAAAGCAAGGATCAGTCTTAGTTCAGACCCATGCTTCAGGAACACGTTTCCTGACATCATTCATAACACCTTATTATTAAACTTTCGAGAAACTAGAGATGAAAAGAAGATGAGAAATACGCGTACACAACATTAAGGATCTTCCTATTGCAATGACTTATATAAGATTGATGAGCAGGAGAAGCAATCAACAAATTCAAATGTTTAACACCAAGAAAAACGTTAAAAAGACTAACATTTAATACACAACTCATCTAAGTACACACACTTTAAAAAACGTTAATACACAACTCATCTAAAGACTAACATTTCATCTAAAGACTAACATTTCATCTAGAGACGACCGTTTCATTACAATAACTCATTACACTCTAACACATAGACACACATAAGGGACGAACTGAAGATGAGACAGAGCTTATAAACGAACAAAAGTGGATTAACACACACACTTTAACAATCGAACATATAAAAAATTGAATATAACCCTATAATAAAGTAGTAAAAAACGTTAATACACACATAGAAGATCAACCTGTAGAAAGAGACCAGAATTACTAATTAAGACTTGATGAGTAAGAGGATCAACCTGTAGAAAGAGACCAGAATTACTAATTAAGAAAGAAAGAATCAAGAGATGAAACCAAACATAGAAGAAATAATGAATGAAACTACGAATTAACAAAAACTCACCTTTTTCTTAGAACAAAGGATCTCACTTCGCAATTGTACAGACAAAGGATCTCAAGAACGATTCAGTTGCCGGCGAGAGAAGAACAACCCAACACCTAGTACAAAAATCAACAACAAAAGACAAATCTTAGAAGGAGAAGCGGAGAAGGCTCGGCGAAGGAGAAGCACAAATTTCAGTGAGAAAGAAGAAGAAGGAGGAGATCATACACAATCGGAGAAGGAGAAGCGGAGCAGCCGTGGCGGAGCAGGCTCGGCGGAGTAGCAGAGGCGGCGCAGGCGTGGCGGAGCTAAAACGGAGGAGAAGGCAAAGTGGAAGAAAAGGGTTTTGTTCTTCTCTCAATAAATGGTTGCGATTTTACCTTTATTAATTAAGGTTTTTTTTCTCTATGATTAAATTAATTAAAATAGTTTTAAAAATTTACCTTAATTTTACTTTAAGGGTATAAATGGATTATAATCTAAATTAAATCTTAATTCACCAAACTTTTAAATAAAAAGTATAGATGGACAAAGTTTTTAAAATATGTCTCTTATTTCCAATTTTCCCATATTTTTACACTTTATTTATTTAAATCATACAATAGAAGCATACATCCATATCTCTTGAATTTATTTGTTAATTAATTGTTCAATTTTAGTAGTATTTTTCTTCAATATGTTTGAGTATTTTTTGATAAAATAATAATATTTTTAATGATAAAAATAGAGATGATACTGGGAGAATTTAAAAAATACCCCTTTTCAAATACTAATTTTTAATTTTACCCCATTTTCAAAAATTTTTAAAAACCACTAAAAATGTTGAAATTTGTCCAAATATGTGTGTAAGCTTATGAATATACACAGAAATTATCCTTGTTTGTGTATGCAGTTTTATTTATTACAATGTCTTATAAATTGGTTTGATAATTATATAACAAAATTTAATATGTGGGAAAGAAACAAACATCTAAAGTAAAAAAATGAAAATGGTTTCTTTAGCTTGATTTTCTTATGGTACGATAGTTGGAAATCAATATTTTAGAATCCCATCAATTAAGTAATTTTCTTATAGCCATAAAATATTATTATACATATTATATATTTCAAGTATAAGAAAAGAACAAATAAATGAAGAAGTACATAAAACAAAGAAGAAATATATTTGAAAAGAAAAGTTTAAATAAAATATATAATAAGCTCCTATAATGATATTTTAATTAAGCTTTTAACCCATGCAAGAACATTAAAAATAAAACAAATAAAATATTGAGGGTATCATATATGGTGGAGGAGGATGTAAGAATGGGTATTTATATGATAAAATATGATGTAAGTTACAATTCTAAAATAATTAAAATAGAGGAGTTATAGTCATAATTTATAGTGTGTTAATTGAAATTGAATGGAGGAAACAAATAGTCAATTCACAAGTTATATAATTTCAGTTACAATTTAGTAGTAAAGTGTGGATTTCAAGTATGAATTAAAGTATATGATTAAATGTGTTAGATATTTGGTTTAATTAAAAATAAATATTATAATTAAAAAATAAATGTTAAATGGACCAATAAGGAGAGAGTGAAACCTTAAAAATCCCAAAGAATAATTTTCATTTTTTAATCCATTTTTATATTCCTCTTAATTTAAGATATATCTCTAGGTTTAATTCTATTTTTTTCATCCTTGTAGTATATATAATTGATAGAAAATTGAATTAAATATCAAATTGTTTTTTAGATAGGAAATCAAGTATAAAATTCAAACTTAACAAAAATTATAATGTTCTTTATATTATTAAATGTTGAATCAAAAAATAAATATAAGGATCATTATTCTTAAAGAATGTCTTACAAATTGGTTTGATAATTATATAACAAAAAATTATTTTGTTAAAAAATTACATACAGTACTTTTGAAAATAAAATAAATATACATGAATATGAGAGAAACAAACAAACATCCAAAGTAAAAAAATGAAGATGGTTTCTTTTAGCTTGATTTTCTTATGGTGCGATGGTCGGAAATCAAGATTTTTGAATTTCATCGATAAAATAATTTTCTTATAACCATAAAATATTATTATACATATGTATTACATTTAAAAATATAAAAATGAAGAAATGAAGAATTACATAAAAACAAATAATAAATAAAATTGAAAACAAAAGTTTAAATCAAATATTTAATTAAACTCTTATAATGACATCTTAATTGAGTTTTCACCCCATGGAAGAAATTTTAAAAAAACCAAAGAAAATAATGAAGATATGAGATATGGTTGAGGAGGATGTGAGAATGACTATTTATAGGATAAGAAGTGATGTAAGTTACATTTTAATAATAATTAAATTAGAGGAGTCATAATTATAATCTATAGGGTGTTTAATTGAAATTCAATAAAGAAAATCAATAGTCTTTGAAAAATTATATAATTTTCAGTTACATTTTAGTAGTAAAGTGTGAATTTAAAGTATGAATTACTGTATATGATTAAATGTGTTTTTTTGATTAATTAAAAATAATTTTTACATTTTAAAAAATAAATACCAAATGGACCAATAAGGAGAGAGTGAAACCTTACTTTTATATATATGATTTAAACAATTTATAAACAAATTATAATAATTTATTTTCTGTTTGATATTTTTTTAAAATTTATATTTTAAAAACAAATATGATAGAAAATAATTTTTATCTTCTTATACAATTGAAACAAATAAATGAATAAGTACAATTATAATTATATAACCAATATGATACAAATTAGTACTTTATAAACAAATTATAAACAAATTATAAAGATATTTTCTTTTTAGAAGTTTTATAACTTATTTTTTGTTTAGAAGTTTTATAACTTATTTTCTGTTTAGAAGTTTCTAAATGTGTTGAATTATAAATCAAAACTGTAGAGAATACCTTTCATATGGCAAAATATGTCGATATCCTACCAAAATTCCTACAAAATATTTTCCTTCAAATTTCCTACGAACTAGTTTCCTTCTATATATCTACTGATTTCCTTTGACATTTCCTTCCACCTCGCCGTTGAAGGTATTTCGAAGGAAATATCTCTGCGTTTTTTCCTTCCACTTTCCTTTTCGTTTCCTTCATAATTTCCTATAAAACTATTATTTACAAGAAACAGGTAGGAAATATTCCTACCACTTTCTGACACATTTTGTCATAGTTAAATTCTCTTCATTTTTCCTACCACTTTCCCTTTTCGTAATAATTACGAAGTATTTCCGTAGGAAAATCATCTTACCATTTATTTTGTAGGAACTGGTAGGAAATGGACATGTTTTCTTGTAGTGAATTAGTAGGACTATCATTCCTTTATTTATAACGTACTGATTTTTATTCTTTTTCAAATATTGTGACAGGAGAAAGTGAAACTATATCAGAAAGTCCTAGTGAAGGAGAAGCTGGTGTTCGTAGGAAAAAATGAAAGATGTTGAAAGATTAGAGGTTTACCTTGCGCTGTTAGAAAGAAGCAACAATGGAACATTGAAGAAGCATAATACAACGGAAGTCGCTAATTTACTCTTCGTACCATTACAAACGCTACAACGAATTTGGAAGCGGGCTAAAGATACTTCTAATGGCAAAATTGTTGATGTCGCTCATAAAAGAAAAGGTAAATGCGGTGTGAAGAAATTTCAGATTGACTCCATAAATTTCAGAAATTTCAAATTTCAGATGGCCACAAGAGGATTTTTGGGAAAACAATACTTATCCAACAAGATAATGCAAGAACTCACGTCGACCCTAGGGATGAAAATTTCCGAGCAGCTTATTCCCATCATCGTTTTGATATCCGTTTGATGTGTCAACCACCAAATTCGCCCGACTTGAATATTTTATATCTTGGATTCTTTAATGCCATTCAAACACTACAACACGAAGTGTGCCCGAAGACAATAGAAGAACTTGTTTCCGCGGTTGAAGTTACATTTGATGAATATCCTTCATATCTAGTCAATCAGACTTTCTTGACTTTGCAATCATGCATGCAAGAAATTATGAAGGTTCGAGGTTCAAACAAGTATAAGATCCCACATTTGAAGAAATCCATCTTCGAGAAAGAAGGTAATTTACCTTCACAAATTACTTGTGATCCTATTTTAGTTAGAGATGTTCAGAATTATTTAGAAAATTAAATTGTTGTTGTTTTTTTTTAATTATTATCATATCCATCGGTAAATCTATTTTGTAAGAGTTTGTATTATTGGCAAATAAATTTTATAAGAATTTATCAGCAAATTAATATATATTTGCTGATTTTATTTGCATAACACTAAACTCTAAATTTATTGGAACAAATTTATAACAAAAGAGACATAAAAAATAACACAAAACTCCAAAATCAATTTTTTTTCTTAACTCGTTCAAAACAAAAAACGAGAGAAATAAGGAACCTAGATAAACAAAGGAGTAGCATAAAGAAACCAAAACTAAAAAAAACCTTGGTAAATATATCGTCAGCATATCTAAGATAATATCTTCAATTTCCTTGTTAGGATGAAGATCTCCTACAACATAATAAAATGGTTTGTTCATATCAAATTCACGAACGATGGTAGAGTTGGTATTGTAAACCCGCTGAACATCCTTCGATTCATCTTCTTCACCATATCTCTGGATAGTATTAGATTCATTCAAAATCGGTTGAACACACTTTGATTCGTCTTCTTCATCAGAACATGGGCTGTTCAAGTCAAATTTATGGGTACTGTTCATCGCCTTCACCGCTTCATCTCCAGATTTATCATGAGTTTGTTGAACAGTAGTTGAGTTGTCTTCTTTCTCTTTCTTCACTTCAGTTCTACCTTCTTCTTTATTCATTTTTTTTAGAGAAAGAAAAAGATTAATCAATAAAAGAGAAAAAGCTGAGATGGTAAAGTGACGTTCATGCAAT